GCATGTAGTGTATTATTATTTATTATATATTATATATATAATATTTTGCAAGTATTATAAATCGGAAGAATAAGTTTTTAAAATTAGTATCATGTTTAGGATAGCGATGTTAATTTATAAAATTTTACACGGAACTATTGGGTTTAAAAAAAAACATTAAACAGACTGAAAAGTACTAATTAATTAACTCAATAAAATGTTACGTTTGCGTTACGAATGTCAATAAAATGTTACGTTTACGTTACGAGGGAGGGGGACGGGGTCAAAAAGTGTCAAAAACCGCGTGACGTGATTTATGGACGACCTAAAACTGTACTGAATAAAAAGTTTAGCATTATGAAAAACGTTACTAATGGTCCGTAAAAATGCCCGTTAATTTTAAAATTAACCGATAGAAACTTTGAATTGGTTGATTTAAAATTAACGCGCGTTTTTACGGACTAATAGTAATGTTTTTCATAATGCTAAATTTTTTACAAAGTATTAAGTGTATTCCTGAAGTTTTTAATAATATTTCAATATTCACTTTATTTTTACTAGATGCTTTTCTACTTTGATTAAAGTTTGGAATTACTAATGTTGTTTGAAAAAAGGATGAACTTTAAAAGTTATAAGTGCTTTATAAAAGTAATAGCGCTATTATAGTTTTATTACTTTTATAATGCAGTTAGTGACTAGAGTGTTATTACTTTTGTAGTCGTAAGTTTATAGGTACGTGAGTAAAAATTTTAATTTGCTTAAATATTATACTGTTATATATCATATGATTTTATTTCAAAATTTTAATAAATTGGAAACAATATTGAAAACCTTTATCTCTTTCATTATTTTCCATTTTTTAATGAAAATTTTATTTAATTTAAATCAAGTATAAAAAATGTTAAATTAACCCCTCTATCTCCCGCGACCATTTCGGGGGAATGAAAATTAGGTACCAAAAGTGCGACAAAAAATAGACACCCTGCTACAAAATATTTTTTAATGAAATTTGGCAGGTGCATAAGATAAATGAAAAAAGAATAGTATAGGAGCATATCTTCAACATTAATTTCATGCCCAAAGTACAACAAAGTTTTAGACATGAAAAAACTAAATAATAAAGCTATCTAGTAAAATAATAAATCTAACAGTAATAAAGTTTAACTATTCTAGTTTCTAAAAATAATCTATGTTGATATCAAATTCTAAAAAAGTTTTCCAACTAAACACATCTTCACTATGTTAACTTAAAAAAAAATCTAAAAAATGGGCACAGTTTTTTTAGCACAAAATTCGGTTCCGTAAAACGCGGATTTCCACTTAACTAAAGTTTGTTGTTTTTTTTGTTTTTTTTGTGTGACTTTTTCGATAACAAACTTAAGATATTTGCTCCTTAAAAACAAAGTACACGGCTTTGCATAAACTAAAATATTGATGACCAAATATTTTTCTAGATTTTGCAAATCGCGGTCGCTTAATTCAAACAGGTACCTTATTTTAACAAAATAGTTTTTAATATAAAACTCGTTGGGTTCCCGCAGTAACTTAAATAATGCTACCAATGTTACATACAATGCTACCAATCAATGTTATATTTTTTCCTGTTTAACATTTGTACTAATTATGTAAAAAGTTATTAATTTATCTTTAAGATTAAACAAATTTTTTATTATAATTAATTATTTGTCCACAACTATGTATATTTAGTGTGTTTTGTTATTAATTTTTTTAAACTTTACTAAAATTATATAAAAGTATATTTCAAGAAAAGGTAATAAAAATCCTGGGATCAATCATGGGCTTCGGTAAAAGTAATCTTAGATAACGTTTACCTGTCTATTTTTCTAAACATGGTCATATCTATCTTTTAGATATATAACAGGTCAATATAGTGCTTCTTATGAAACTCAGGTTGATAATAATATATTATCAACCTGAGTTTCATAAGAAGCAAAAACATAAGATTTTGTTTTTTATGAAATTCAAGTTTTTAAGCGTTTAAAGAAGTCTTTTTTATTGATATTTAAGACTTATAAATATTTTCTATGCATACATGCATAGAAAATATTTATAAAAAACTTATTTTTTATAACGTTTTTTTAATTATCATTACTAATGTTTTTTGTTTTTTTACACAACTAATTTTCGCTTTTTTTGTAAACTTTCGTTTATGAAGAAAACACTCTAATTCAATAGAATATGATCGGATCAACACAATTATTTGTTTTTTAGAATGAAAAAATGTAATCATAACCTACGGTGTTAATTTAAATACCTCTACATCTGCACTAAATGGCACAGTAATTTTTAAAGAAGAGGAAAAAAAACTTAAATATATAGTGGCGTGGATAGCATTGAGTTTAGCAACAGTTAAACTTAATAAATGGAATATGGAAGAATATTTTATAATTATAATTCGTAGAGTCATAAACCTAGTATTTAAGAACAGTTATTGACAGGTTTTTATGAGAGATTGTGGGATATGTAAAGTAATATATTTTACTGTATATTAGATATAGACTAATGGTAATGGTGACAGGTGATAGTAAAAATACAAATTTTGAAGGAGGAAAAAAAACAAAAAATTTTAAAATTGAGAAAAAATGAGGTAAAACTCTATCCATGATTATATTGCAATTAGTTATAAATGTGGTTTTCAAGTCAGTAGTGAAAAATAATCGTGAAGTTAAGAACTCAGTAAAAGTGCAGCCATTCATCAATATAAAAATATCAACAATATTGAAATAATTTTTAGTTTGACTGCTGAGTTTAGTTTGGGTTAACATTTACCATCTTCTTTAAGCCCCAAGCATCACAGTAGAAAAATCAGGTTCAAGATCGGCTGCCTGTTCCTTTAAGCATAGACTAATTGATTTTTAAATTATAGATCTTGACTTTAGTCAAAACTAAATTATATAGTTGCGTCATCAGCTAGTCACTTTAGGATGTAAGATTATTCTGTAAGACCATTGATATAGATGCGGAACAATACAGTGCCAAAGATGACCCTGGTTTGTTATTGTATTTGCAGAAAAAGAATGCTTATTTTATTAACAAATTAACATCTCATCATTTATTAACAAATTATCAAACCCTTCCTATTAATGGTTTATTTCATTCAATTACTTTTTCAATCAAGTTATTTCTTTTTTTTTTTTTTTGAGTAAATAAAAATAAACGTGAATGTTTTGATAAAATCAATTTAATTTTTATATTTTATTTTTAGAATTACAACTTAATAATTTTTTTTTTTTTTTTTTTGTAAAAATATTTTAATTTTACTTGTTACTATTTAGAGCATAAACAAGGACGGGTTGTTTAAACTTAGTTTATTGAGCTTGGGTCAAAAACCAAGTTTTGTTACAACATTTTAATGGTTAATATTTCTTTGCTTTTCTGTTAGCAAAGTCATCAATAAAGTTTTCAAAGTCAATTTTATTACTCGGTTTCTGTTCAATGGATAGCATAGCAAGGTTTCTTAAAATAAACGCATTGTAGATCTAAGGTAATTTTGTATAAGTTTTGAAAAATTTCTCATACAACTAGCCACACTAACAGCAATTGTAAAAAAAATTTAAGTGGACATGTCATCCACGGTCATGACCCTTGATTTCCATCCTAACGTAGCGTAAAGCTTAACTGATTTGGTCCTAATGAGAAGTACCAAGGGTGCTTTCAAACACAATTGAAATATACTTAGTTTCTTGATATCTCTTCAATGACTTTTATTTTGACTTTTTCTTCCAAACTTTCAATTAACTTGTTTTAAATGGTTGGTGACAAGTAAGATAAATAGATTATTCTCAGTTTGATTCCTATTACTGATTTATTTATTCCTATATTGTGTTCACGTAGCACAGGGTCATATTTTACCAACAAATAACTATTTCTAAAAAATTTCATCTATTTCCAGTAGTTTTTTCTTGATCTTCATTGCCAGAATCTTCTCGATGATCTCTTAGAAACAAATTTTCTTAAAAAAAAATCTTAGAGACAAAAGACATGCTAAGTCGTTGTAGATGAAAACATAAATTTATTTTTAAAATTAAGTTATGGTATTCTGGAGGGATGCGAAACAGATAAGTTTTAACGTCCCACCCTTGTTACGCCACTGTAATCGTTTAATGTTGAATTAAAATAGATATAAGTTGCGGGCAACCTTAACTAAAAAGAAATATTTAGTTTGGGAGCATTCATAAAGTACGTACGCAGTAAAACCACTGATTTAGGACCCTTGCTTCCCCCATGTACGCATCTGTATGCTATAAAATATCCTTCCTTCCTGCCTACGTACGCATTATTTATTACAAAATTGCCCCCCCCCCCCTTTCCCAAATGCATAAATTTTTTTAAATAAATAAAAACAACATGTTTCTGTTACATAAAGTTATGTTAGTTATTTTAAATACATGACATTCGATTCTTCTATTCAGAGGCGCCAATTCAATTTTTTGGTCTTTGAGGCTCCAATCATCGCCAATTTTTGCAAAGCAACCGTATTTCACATAAGTATAAACATAAATGTGTGGAGTTTGCTCCATGTCTCAAAATCCAAAAAAATTGAATTGGAATTTAAAAAGAAATCAAATTTTATGAGAGATAGAGAACGAGAGATGGTCGAACCGTGTATGTACTCGCTGTCTTTAACACCCCCTCCCGCTTGTACACATTTGTACTTTTTGGGTAACTCCCCCTTTCCTGCATTCGTACTTTATGAAAACCTTTTTGCTGATTTAAAACATAAATTAATTTTAAAATTAAAGTCAGACCGAATTTTGAAAAAAATCATGGTCACATTTTCTTTTTCAGTGATATAAAGGCCGTAGGCTGGATGTAGGAACTATATTATATTGAATATATATAGTATTTAATATATTATGGTTTTTTACATAAAATTTTACAAAAAATAAAATGAAACTATTGCTAAATTTTTACTTTTTTGAATATTTAATTTTTTTGTTGTATAACTTTTTGATTAAAATGTTAACATTGTCATGTCTCTTCTTTTTTTCGTTATATAGTTATTTACTAATAAAACGATAATATTTTGCGAAAATGAGTCGCTGCTTGAAAATTCGCTTATTTGGTACAATTTTATGCAATCATTTATCTAAACCACGTTTTGGAAAAAATTTAATTCTTCAACCAATCAGAAAACAGAAAAATAACATATCTTGTACACACAGTTTAAAATGTCTACACACAACTAATTGCAATAAAGCACTACCTAGTTTTAGTTTTGTTTTGATAAAACTGACCTCGTCTTTATATCGCGTTATACTTAGTCCTATTTTGACAAAGTTTATCTCGTCTTCATATCGTGTTGGAATTTTCTTAGGTGGGAGATTACTACGAAAGTGGTGGGTAAATTTAAACAAGAATCGTGGTTTTATTTTTTTGATTTCTGCTGTTGCAGTAGTTGTACCCAGTGCATTTTATGTGACTCATCTTGAGGAGACACCTGTAACTGGTCGTCGTAGATTTGTCGTATTGAGCGATGATCAAATGCAAAAAATTGCAGATTCGTATAGTGAAGACCTTATTCTTGCATTTTCAGACCTTCGTCTACCGGTGAGTCATATATTGCATGAGAAAGTGTCTCGTGTTGCAAATAAAATCTTAGAGTGTAATGTTAGTCCTGAATTAAATGCGCTTAAATGGGAAATAAATGTCATCAATAATGACGAAGTGAATGCGTTTGTATTGGCTAACGGCCACATTTTTGTATTTACCGGAATGCTAGCTGCTATACAAAATGAACACGAACTTGCTGGTATACTAGCTCATGAGATGGCGCATGCAATATTAAAGCATTCATCGGAATCCGTAAGCCATTCTGGCTTTTTTAATTTTTTGTCGTTAATTATTCTCGGTGGCTTATCTATTGTTATACCAACTAGTGGTTTAGCTTTAGTTGCTTCTTGGTTTGAATATACTATAAAAGATATTCTGCTGAGTTTGCCTTATTCGCGTCAACTTGAGCGTGAAGCTGATGAAATTGGCATGCATATAGCAGCTCGGGCATGTTTTGATGTTAGGCATTTGCCAAAGTTTTGGGAAAGAATGCATAAGACTGATACAAAACAAACACCTGATTGGCTATCTACACATCCGTCAAGTGAAAACAGACTCATTTGGTTAAACAATATTCTTCCAATTGCTCTAAATATAAGAGAAAAACAAAGATGTCCACAACTAAATAAGTTTTTTGAAGCAGTTCAAAACAAATAATAATGTACATAATTATTTTATAGATAGGCAGTATTTATTTTAATCAATTTTGCATACTTTTTAACTATTTTAAATTTTTTAATATACATTGTTGACAAAACATTTAATATTTAAATAAAAGAACATATTCAAAACGAAATTTGTTATTTTTTGGCAGACGACTTTTAAGGCCTGTAAACACATATACTAGGAAAATATTATCCACTTGTATTTTAAAGCTTAGTCGAGATGCTGTAATGATAAAACTTAATTTAAAATGATAATAATAATTTTTGTTTCAACAAAAAACCAATTGTTCCTGTTTTAATAGTATATATTTGATTCTTTACTCTCCGCATTTTTTCTAAGTTTCACATTATTAAACCAATCAGAAAATAGCTTTTTATAATTATTATTATTTGTGTTGTTATGATTTAAGAGGAAATAGTGTTTTGTTTTTTCAGTTTTCTTAAAACATAAAAAAATAACTTAGCGATTGTGAAATGATCATGGCGATAAAATAACATAATATCATTAATTAACTTAAATGACTCGTTTGTTTTACTAAAATGTTTCACATTTCATTTTTTTTCATTTAAAATGTTTCATCTTATTGTTTCATTTTCGTTATGTTTCAAAAATAAAACAATACGAGCATTTATGCTGAAATGTAATTTGCATTTACATGTTTATTATTTAATGTTCATCAACATTATTATATGGGTGGATTATATGGGCAGATCTGAAAGTCCTTGCGATCCTAACTGGACTAAAAACAGGATAAACTAAGTTCTGTTGTTTTCTCTGCTTTTAGGATTCACGATCAAGGTAAAGCCGTTACAAAGAGAAAATATGGCCTGAGCGAGATGATTTATCTGTTGGACTAAAGATTGTTGCTAATCCTCCACTTGTTTCACCGAACAAGGTTATATTGCCACCTTTTCACATAAAATTAGGCCTCATCAAACAGCTTGTAGAAGTATTTGGAAAAGATTGTGATGCAATGAACTTTTTGAAGACAAAGTTCCCGAATTGAGTTTTGCGGAAGTAACAGGTGTTTTCATTAGACCACAGTTGAGGCAGCCAGTGCCGGATACGGAGGGGGGTTCTAAGGGGGACTATAGCCCCAAATATTTTAGAGGACATTTTTTTTTTATTTTTTTTTAATAAATCATTTTTAGGCTCTACCCCATAAAAAGGCCTCCAAAAACAAAAATAGCCTCGGGCCCCAAGAAGTCTTAATCCGCCACTGGAGGCAGCTGCTACTTGATCAGAACTTTGATAACAATTTGACACCAGTTCAAAAAGTAGCATGGCTGTCTGTTTGATATGTTTGCAATGGTTTTCTTGAACGACATCAAGCTGCAAATTTTGAATCTCTAAATCCTATAAACAAAAAAATACTATATTAATTAAATTAAATTGTTGTACCAACGATCTTTTCATGTATTTTTTACTGCCTTTTTAGACTTACATCTTTACAAAACTTTACTTTGCAAACTTAAATGTGTTTTCAGGATGATTTTCAAAAACTTTGATTGGGTTGATTATTTTTAAAGGTTTCTTATACTGCTAAATAAAAGTTACTGCTAAAACTATACTACCAAAGAAAAAATCTCGCTCCTTGATGTGACTTTATCTACGAGTTACAGATTTTAATTTGAGTGGTTGGTTTTATTATAGTTCTAAAATCCTTTTAGTAATTTGCAGAATCGTGGCTCTAGAAAATAAATATTAGCACATTTATACAATTATCCATAAAAAATAATGATTGTAATAAAATTTAATAACAAGGTATATTAAAAACAGACAAAACACACAAACAGCGTATAAAATAGTAATTTCAAACCTTAAATACTTATTAAATCATTATTTAAATCAATGACGGATCTAGGGGGGATGGGGGTATACATCTCCAACCATTAGAATTAGAAAGTCCTAAAATCTTTTAGAAATGAAGGTCCTTTTTTTTTAAGAGATACAAATGTAATACAAAATACAAAAATATTTCAACTAAACGTCGCGCTCATACTAAAAAAGGAAATAATCCGAGAACCATTAAATATTTGGAAATAATTTTTAGACAGGACATCATATAAAGTAAAAGCGCTTAGAATGAAATAGTTACAATGTTTATTCTTTTGTTCCTCATTATTTAATAAACATTTTGCAAATATTTTTTGATCATGTAATTTTTATACAAAATAAATAGTTAATTAGTTATGTCTAAATTGACCAATGGATTTTTATAAACTCTTCGTTCAACTTTTAAATTCATTATTATCAAATCTATTCTTATATAAAATATGCCTCAAAAAAACTTGCACGAAAAAAAAAACCATCTCACATACTGCCTTCTAAGTCTACACCAATAACATCTAGCATCAACATACGTTGTATAGCACCAACTTCAAACTCAGTTCCACAGTCAACTCGTCTGCAACCGATAAATCTCTACCAAAAAGCACTTGCCCTACTCTCAGCGACTATCAAGATTAAACCTGATAGCGCTAACCATACGACGAGCAAGAGATATAGATCATTCTTATAGAGATATAGATCATTCATTGTATAGATCAATCTTATTGATCTATACAAAATCAACAACAAAATTGACATAATTAACTTCGCGGTCCCTCAGCGTCAACTAAACACAACGTCATCAAAATACAGTTTTCGAGCTCGCCCTGCGGAAAATAAAGGTCTGTTTTGGATTAAAAATCAATAAATTTTTTGTTACTAAAAATTAAGTGTTAAAATTTTGCACTAATGTAAGGTAGTATTTAACGCTTCTAAGGAAATATTTTTTATTAAAAAAAAAAATTTAATATAAAATTTGTATGTAAAAATCAAAAACTTCAAAATTTGTTATTTTTATTTTATTTTCACTAAACATGTTCTTTTTAATTACAATAAAAAAACTTTGAAAGATTTCGAAACAGAAAAAAATACATAAAATGCTTATTTAATTGGAAAATATATTTATATTAAATATATATATATATATATATATATATATATATATATATATATATATATATATATATATATATATATATATATATATATATATATATATATATATATATATATATAATAAAAACATTTATACGAGCTTTCGGCTAAACTCTAGACAAAAAACAAACACGTGCTTTTAAACTTTTTAACAAACATTTTCCTTATATTAGGCTTAACTGCTTTATTAATTTGATTTTTTAATTCTTGCGTGTAATTAATTAATTTGTATATATTTCAACATTTACATGAAAATTTTCAAGATTTTATAAAATACTTATAGAAATATTCAAAATAGTTTATTAATAACAATTTTTATACAGTGAGCTTTTATGGAATAAATTATAGGTCGACTTTTAAAAGCTGCAAAGTATCTTCATCAAGTTCTTGGAGATTTTTGCTGTACGGTTTTCTAATCCTGGTGATGTAACGATCGGAAGTGTACAGAAGAGTATGAAATACGTCCTCATTTGTAGCTAATCTAGAACATTTATAACCTTTAATACGGGACTCTTGCGTATCTTCTGTAAACTGACCGATAGGCAGTACTGAAAATTTTGTGTATGAAGACGGCATATAGTACCAGTTATAAATACTCACATAAATGTGGGCAGTTTCTGTATCATATGTACCAAAACCATCAGCATTTATCATAACATCAGAGGAGAGAGCTTGTAGAATTATGTAAAGTCGCTTAATCAAGTTTTCATTTACTCCAGTGATTTCAGAAGAGCAACTTGCATTGTAAAAAAATCTCCTAGCAGTATCTCTATCATTGGTATTATCACTTACTTATTTTCTTTTGTCGACGATTAATCCTAGCTGTTCACGAAAACATTTCTGTACCAAGGTCTTTTTTGTCTTTCTTTTGTGTTTTGTTTTTTTTTTTTTTTGTTTTTTTTGTTGTTTTTTTTTTTACTTTTAGCTGACCATGTTTAGAAAAAGAGTTTGTAGGAAATAGTCCGTATTGGTACGAACTTTCATTGTCAGGCCTTTAGTCAAATTGTTCATTTGTCGTGGAGTAGCTCCACATATCGTACATGTATGACGCAGAAGGCGTACCCGTTAATACCTGAGCCACTTTTCCATCTATCATTGTTATAAAGTCATGTTTCACTTGTATTCCTTTACAACTTATGTTAATTATAGATGGTCGTAAAGAGTATATTTGACTTGTTAATTTTATCTACAATAACCTTAGTTTTCTCTAAAATCAATGCGTATAGGTCGACAAAAACGTGCAGATGAAGGACCGAAGAACTAATAAATAAATTTGCATTAGAAATAAGTTCAGATTTCTCTGGAAGTTTCTGCTTGTACTCGCTTTGGCCAGAGCAGCCATCACAACCCCATTTACTATACAAAATTAAATATTTAAATGTATTATTGTACACGGAATCTATAGTAAAAATTCTATCTACCGTGTGATCCAATAAATTCTGCAGTTCCATAATTTATGCATGTGTGTTCGTATATTCTATTACAGAAGGTGGCAGGTCTGTTTAATTTCTTGCAATTTGTAATATGGTGGGAATAAGGAACAGTTTTTTTTGTCTGTCAATTTCCTTAAGTATAAGTATTGTACTTTAGTTAAATTTAAATCAACAAACACACTGAATGCTTCTTCATCCGTCAGTAAAACATTTGTGTTTTCCTTAAAACTCGAGAAAAATATCTTTTTTTCTTTTTCAGCAGTCCTTTATGCTTCTGTTTCTTCTCTTATTGAAATTAATGCAATGGATGAGTATGAATTGTCTGTAAATGAACTTAGAGCATCTTTTAATGAATTAAAAATAAATAAGAGTGCAGGATTTGACGATATAAATGTCAATGTTCTGAAAGCTGTTTATAATATTATTGAACTCTTTTTTTTATTTTTAATTTGTCATTAACAACTGGTATTTTTAATTTGTCATTAACAACTGGTATTTCTCGATTAAAAGTTACACGAATTGTCCTTGTTTACAAAAATGGTGATGATTCTTTATCATCAATGATTGACCAATATCCCTTCTTTCCTGTTTTTCAAAAGTGCTCGAGCGTATTATGTATACCAGACTATATAATTACCTTGAAAAACATAATATCTTATTCATCAAACAATTTGGGTTTCGAAAAGGTCATTCAACTCATCATGCAG